GTTTGGATAGGCCTTAGGTCGAATTTCGTGGACCCAATGTGGTTACAACGTTTTAACTTCCACAATTTGATAGCAAAATCTTTGAAGAATTATATTTTGATAATGCGGCATTTTACACTTGCGGCAATACCTATAGTATCCCCCCCATTCTTAAATATTTCGTTTTATTTTTGTTTGCCTATCTAAAAATAGGTTTAGAACTCATGATAAAATCGGTTATCGAAATGGCGTAGTTAAAATCTCACAAATGATACATTCATATAAAGTTCATATTCGCAAGCAACTAGGTATGCAGTTAGCACCCTGGAAATGTATTTTAATAAGGTCGTTGGAAAGTCTAAATTCTTCACAATGATTAGATATTGTAGCTAGCATCAATCAGGCTTTCGTGATTTTTTCACATGGCATTTAAATACTTGAGCCCACTATGCTTTTAAAAATATAAAAAACTAAAAAATTCTTATAATTCGTATTTCCTCTTTTATAAGAATAAAAATAATGTTTATTTTCTCCCATATAACATTTACAACAAACAATAAGATAACAGTTGAGAAGGCATTGGGAGACTGGTTTCCAAACTAGGCAAGAACCTGTGATATGGATTACCAGGCTTCCATTCCACAGCAAAGTCATATTGAGTGTTTACAAAAAGTACATACATAATATATGCGTAGGCAAACAAATTTAACGTTTTAATTTAAAAAAGAAAAACAAAACAGTCAACTAATTAGAAGTTATACAACAAATAAAGTTGTATGGGCGTATGTGAGGGTTTCTATATATGATCGTATAGTCATTTTGTCGTATGCGTTGTCGATTTTGTCCTACCTATACGCAAAGACCTATTAGCGACATTCATTTTACAAGATTCGATATCGACACGAGTATTAACAATCCGAAAATGGCAATATCGAATTTTCACTGCTCTCTTATGTTGTGAAATTATATAGGTACACAATTGTTGGATTTTTGTGCTATATATAATTTGTTGATAAATTTTTCAATTGCCATTTGTCATTTAATCCTAATTGATTATTTACGAAATGAATATTATGATATAGCATTCTTTACGATCTGCAGTTAATTTATCTATTATAATGTTTCCGTATTAAACAGCACGATATTTAGGGACATTGTGCATACATTTGTTCAAATAATTAAAAAATAATCCACCTTTTCGATTAGGGATTAAAAAATGAAATTTCCGATCTGTACTTAAAAATTTAAACTCATGATTTACTTTAGATATAACATAGTTACTCGTATTTGAGACAAAAATGCGTGCGTACAAAGTACACATGTCAGAAGTGAAACTTGTTTGGCAAACTAATTTTTAAGTCTTGTTTATATTTATACAAATCTAAAACTATAGATTTCCAAGACTTAGAGGGAGGTAAAAAGGTAGATATGTTAGGAATTTAATGAATTTAATTGTCATTAAATTATTAAAAGTGTCGAAAAATACTACAAAGTATTAATTTCATCTTTATCTTTGATAATAAAACCACGTGGCATTTTAATTTACAATTCGTCGTTTGAGATTTCAATAAATAATTTTGCATAAAATATAAAATACTGATATATCCTAAATTCTCTACGAAATTTTAATTTTAAAAATAGAATTTCTATAAGGTAATTCGCCCTTCTCAATCTCTATTAATCGGTCTCAATCGTTCTCTCCCTTTTCTTCAACAAAAACGCTGCATATCTTCGTGACGCTAATATTATTATTATTGCTTGTTATCCGTAAAAAATTACCCTCATGCGCCTAAAGAAGTTTCACTTCAATAATTTACCCTCAATATCTTCAGGTAAATTTCTGACCTCTAATCAAAATTACATTAAATATCTTAGGTAAGGTAAAATCAAAGCATGGCGTTATTTTCTGGATTGACTAATCTGATCGGAGCATTGATTATACCTACTCGCATTTTTAAAGTCACCACCTTCCCCGTCTAGGCTGATAAAAAAACAATGGAATGTAAAAGATAATCCTAATAGGTAAAAATAATGATACAAAAAGCTTTCAATAGAAAACCTCATGTATGTTTTAATTATAAATTACTTTATAACAGTATTTTCACATTTTGTGCATTCATTTCTGATGCGTGGATCTGTTACATACCTACCTACTAAAAGATTTTTTTACAATTGGTTAATGTATAAAAAAAGCTTATTCATAAAAACTTCCCACTGTTTGCACTAAATAATATAGTGTATCATAAGTTTGTGTGCGAATTACGAAATACCTACTCTTTGATAATATTAATGTGGTGTTTCAGACTTATGTTAGATGTTGTTGTTAAATATTTAAAACTTGAACATTACTTCATTATCAATCGTCGATAACTTTTTTACTGAAAGCATAAGCAATGCAAAACTCAATCTTTATTCATTACATACATTAAATTAAAATAAATCGTAGCTTATTACTTAATTTATAAACGAATATTTCTAACAAATCCACTTATCAGCATTGTATGAGTTCGAAAATATATATTTGAAAATAACAATAAGAAATTATTGAAAGAGATGTTATTGTATCATTAGGATAATAATTTTTTTTCAAATTCAAATTCGCTAAAGTAATTACACGATTTTATCCCAATACTTTTATTTTTACTGTTGAAAATAGAACCATTTTCTGAAAATAGTAACAAAAACTATTTCAATGTTATATTCAAATATTTTATTATATACTAATACACTAGAATATCTTAAATTTAATATATTTACTAAACTTTAATGATTCAACATTAATAGGACTCGACTCATTTTAGCTATTGTAATTAACATTATTTAGTGTTTGATATCTATTAATGATTCGTTTGTTAATCACTAAAATAATAATGATGCTCAAATAATTTAATGACAATTATAATAATGTTTTCGAAATAGTTTATATTTATAACGCTCCAAGATTCTGCAACATTTAGTATTGTCAAGTGCTCAGTGTGAAAATTATTTTAGACAAAATGCAAAATTTTAATAAAGATGTTCCAAGTGGTATGAGATTGGAGATAAAGTGTAATAGTGCGGCAAAAATAAGTAACACGGAAATACAGAGACTGGTAAGTAAGATTTTAAAGGTAATAAATAATAATCCAATACGGGACCGCTATTGCCTTAGATTTCTTCCTCTGTCTGATTCTTTTTGCAAAAACCTGTGCCTGCAACGCGAACGCTGGATATTAAAGATGCCTACCTCGAAATAATATCTCGTCGTGAACGTATATATAATCCCACGGCTTAACTGCTTTAATCTGCTTGGTCTTGTAAAATATATGTTTCTTAAAGAAGATACCGAATAAGGCGTAAAACATATTCGCTTTTATTTTTAATCGTTCAGTCTTGTCCAGATGATGCTCATTTAATACTGCGCTTAATAACAACAACAAAAACACGGGTTTTGGAATTTCTGTTCTACTAATGGGTACTGTTAGGATTTTTAAAAATTGAATTATATTGATGGAAAAATTACATAGATAAAACTTTTTACCTATAACATTTATTTGTAATAATTGTGACAAATATAGCCAAGGTTTGTAGCATATTTAATTTACTTATTTTTTCTTTCAGGTCTCCTCCACTCAAAGTTATATAAGCAGAAACCCCAAAAAATCTAGAAGATTGAGGAGTTCATTTACAACTGAGCAACTAAATTATTTGGAAAATGAATTTAAAAAATTTCCTTACATAGGAAATGTCAATCGTCAAGAATTATCCAGAAATTTGAATCTTCCTGAGAGGGCAATAAAAATTTGGTTCCAAAATAGAAGAATGAAAGAGAAAAAGGAATCAAATAAAGAGGAAGAAATAAACCAATGCGTTTCTATAAAAATCACTAATAATCAATTAAATAATGTGCATAATTTGCAATCAGCTAATGATGAAATTAATGTATCAACACCATTACAAGTTGGAAGTAATGAGGCAAAATATGTTGCAATCACGCCTAGCATAACTGATAATACACCAATCAATTACACTGTAAAAGATTCCAGGGAACAAGAAATAACAACTACCACGGACACTATTAATACTGGAAAAACCAACCATAAGGATGCACCACTGTATAATGCCCGTAAAATAGGTAACAAAAATCCAAGTAAAACTAATGATCTCAAAATAGAAAACGTCACCACATCCTTTAAAAGCATAGAAGATAATGGAAGCAGAAAACGGAACACAAGTCCCTGTTTATCTCAGTCCCAAGATATCCCTGAAGATTTATCACAAAAGTCCAAAACCAAGTCTTCGATTGAATTAAAAATTCAACATTCACACACAGATTCAGGAAGTGTGCCGGTATATATACCAAACTGCTATACACCATCCTATGTACCTGGTAACGTTTTATGGAATCCTAACATGGGAATTATTACAAATGGAGCTGTACCGACATACCCTCCTAGCTCTTACATTATCAATCAACAGATCTTGCGAAAAAGTAATTGTAATTGTGATTGCCACCTTCAATTGATTCCCCAGGCTACAGAGAATCCAGGGCCATATATTCCGGTTTTTACCATTCCCTACACGGCTCATTTGCAATAAAAAACAAATATATTTTTTAATGTTTAATTAAATTATTATAGAAATACAAAATGTTATTATTTTATTTATAGGTACAATAAAGAATACACTGAAAATAAATTTTATTTTATTCACAATAAATTAATTATAATTAACCTTACACTTACTTAATATTATTACGATTACAATTTAACATTTTATTTATATGACCTTAAGAAATAAATATAAGTAGAACAGGAAAAAAGAACATCTAATAAATAATAAATTATTTGGTAAAGATATTTTAAAAAGATATAGAATTTTTATTAGAAAACTTGGAATAGAAAATATAGTCATTTAAAACTTATCTTAATCCTAATTAAATATTATATTAATTTAATAAAATTAAACCTATTAACTAGAAATATTCAGTACACTGAGTACTATATAACACTGTCGGAAATAAATAAAAACAATTTAAAAACTTATAGTTGAAATTCGTTAATGTTAAATGTACTTGTCGGCCATTCATAACCATTTTCAATACAATTGCCATAATTATAAAGATCTGAAGGTTGGTAATAATGTGTTGAATTTGTTGGATAGTATTGAGTTGGATAAATATTTGCATCATTTTGAAAATAGAATCCTGATGCATAACTATTATATGCGTTGTTACAATATTGTTGTTTTAAACCTTCAAAGTTATTTTGAATTTCCTGTGGAAATATGTAGCTTTCTGGGTACTGAATTTCCTCTGGCAAACTTTTTTGTAACACAATTTTTTTCTGATAAAGGTTGTGAGACAGGTGACGGTGGAGTAATAGTTTCAATCAAAGAAACTTCACTAGATGTATCGCTTGATTCAGAAGATTCCTTCTTCTCCTTCATTCTTCTGTTTTGAAACCAGACTTTGACACATTTGTCACTGACATTCAGCCGTTTTGCGAGTTCGTGGCGCCCTTCAGCATCTATATATTTTTTTCGCTTGTATGCATCTTCTAATACAAGTAATTGATCAGTCGTGTAGGCTGTGCGCATGCGTTTGTTTTTCTTTCGGACTATCTTGGTAACCAAGGAATCTTTAACATAGAAAAACTTAATTAAGTTCATGTATTGGAAATAAAAATAATATTCTAAACTTTGTGCTAAAATGTTTATTTTTACGTCGTTTTGCTGTTAAAAGGTCACTTGCTTTTTTCTAACGTTGAGACGGTATACAAAATTGAACAATAATTTCTATATAAATTTAAACTTTTTAAATGTCATTGTGTGAGAGAAATATATCTGTCGTCGTTACATACATCCATAAAAATGTAGTTTATAACAAAATGTCGTTAATTTGACTTAGCCTTGATCTATAAAACATGCGGTTTTAAAATATACCGAAGACTTAATACAATTGCTGAATGTAGGTAATAGTCTCTCAAAATATAATAAGAACTATCTTAGGACGGGCCAAACCACATTTTCCTAGTCAGTGCTCGAATATTCGAGGCTGAAAAATGCCTTAATAAAGCATCTTTATTAAATTAAACTGACCTTTATCCGAAAGTTGTTTCTTCTCTGGCCATATTGTGTGGAAAGGTCGATTTTCCCAACTGGTGAGCTATAAAACAACAATTATTAGTAACGGTTTTTGCCACGACATAATTTGTTTTTTAATTACCAATATTTACCTCACTCATATTCCCTAAGGGTGTAATTGGGTTTAACAATATATTATCGAACATATTTTATGAAAATAAATAAAATAAAATTATTATAAACGAAACTTAACAAGCCCACGCACTACTCGAGCAAAACTGTGCGACTTGACCGATCACATTGGCGTCGGACAATTTTTTTAAAAGTACCCTTATTTTTATGGAACAAATTTATGAATTGAATTTGAAATTTATGAAGTATTTTAATTAACAATATAAAACTTAATTATGATAAAATACAAATACATAAATGACTATTGTATTTTTAAGTAAAATTAACTTTTTATTTTGTGTATTCTTATTTTTATTAATGCTACATTAAATATGACCAAAGACAAACAAACGCCGTAATAGTCTATGAACTCAAGTCAGTTGGCGCGATACAAATTCAAATGCTTTTACACAAGGTACAATATTAGGTAGGGTTTTATATGGGTTTCATAATCGCTATAAGACTGAAATAGCTATTGAATAGTCCATAACACGTCACAGAATATTATAAAACTAATACAGACTCATAGTGAGGATATGTATAATACCGTTAGGTACGCCCACTGTTTAGTATCGATCTAAGCAAAGCATTCGTATGTATTTTAATTATTATTATTAAGGTTACTTTATAATGCAGTCAGCTACGCTACGATTATTATTATTAGTAAGGTCACATATCAATTTTTTTCAATATCTTATTTCAGGTGTAAGACACTTTAAGTCGGGTAACCAAATATTGTACCGTATTTCTCCATCCAAATCCGTCAGGGAACGGTATTCTTAATTCAAAATAAATAATACGCAATATTTTTTAAATGCCGATTGTCTAACTGGTTTAAGGTAAAGAAAGTGTTTATGAAGGTGTTTGAAATTTACAAACAAATCAATTAGGCGCAGGTATACACTAATGAGGGTCTAGGATTAAGCCAATAGGATGAGATGTAAACAACATCTTAGGGATGAAGATAATGACTTCCGAATTGAGTAAGTATATAAGTTTAAGTTTTGCAAATTTTTTAATTAGTTTATTTTGTGCGTGCCTGTGAAAGGGTTGTGGAAGTTTTGACAAAAATGGATTTTTTCGGAACGAAGAGTGCTGTGCAAGAAATGGTTTGTTGATTTGTAATATTATTTAAATTAAGTTATGATTATGTGTTTGTTTTGAAAATTCTATTTCAATGGGAATTTAGTTTTAATTCATACATTTGATTACCAAAGAAATAATAGTTTAGTGCTAAAAATACTGTATTTAATTTCAACTAGTAACAAAAAGTAAAGTGAAAATAATATGTTAAAAACTAATAGCCAATTTTTATTTATTTAAAGAAGACATGTGTAAAGCTTTACTTTTGCGTTAATTATATTTTTCTAATTTCTTATTTTATTTCAGGAGCTGTCGCCCGCACAGAAAAAGGTCAAATGTGATCTACAAAGTTTTTATGAAAACTTCGATCCAGATAGCAATGAGGTAAGCAATCTTTATCTTAATTTCTATGATATATTTCGCCGAGGATTTTTTAAATGTGTTACAAAGACTATATTTATTATGACGACATTTACGACACGTAAAATGTCTAAGATTAGCAAACTTGTCTATGTTGAATTGGATTTTATTTATAAATTTTGTTTTCAGGATTGTATGTTTGATTCACCATGCAGCCAAACGTACGATGAGAAACCATGCATTCAAAGCCTTAACACAGAAAGAGCACAAGGAAACCAAGGCCATTGCATTCAGGTACTTATAAATTTTATATATCAGTGATTTTTTTCTTTTTATTAGTTAAATTTAATATTATTATTTCACTGTCTACATAGCAAAATTACCAATTTACTAATTATTAATTACATCTTCATATTTTTAGAACGTAACTTTTTCGTTGTTCTAACTGTATATTGTTAAATTTCAGATGACCTCACAAATGGAGAAAACAGATAAATGGAGCAACTTCTTCCAGTGGCAACCAGAGAATCATGATCTACTTACGAAGAATGCTTCAAAGGGCTCCGCCTTTCATGGCAATGGTAAGTGTTTCTACTTATTATTCACTGTATTTTTTGTTAATTTTAGAAAGTTAGTTTGAAAGTTTACCATAATGTAAATATTATGGTAAACTTTCTTTCAAAATTTAAGTTCCTAAATAAATTTTGTAATATACCTAAACTTTTATATATACCTAGTTAACTGACTTTAGCTTATAGCGTTGTGAGAATGGTTAGCAATATGTTTTTATAACCCATACGATCTTGCTTTGCGATTCCTAAACATTTAACTTTTTTCACTAATTATATAATTTCATTCATTCTTGAGATAAGAATGAATTTGGTTGTAGAATTGATAAAGGATCTGTATTATAGCCCATATTTTACCCGTATATTAAAATCGTTTGTTTAATTTCACAGATTCGGGCTACCAACAAATCAAGAGAAGTATTTCAAAGAAGAAACGTACCCGTACGATGTTCACAACTGAACAAATTATATCCATGGAGCAAATCTTTAAATCCAGGCCTTACATCTGCCAAGACGAGAGACAAGAACTATCTCTTAAATTAAATGTCAGTGAGAGAGCGATCAAAGTCTGGTTTCAGAACAGACGGCGGATGTCCGAGAGGAGAGAGAAGACTGAATTACCAGAATCACCAGTATCCGACGAAAATTGTGACTCAAATACTGATAGGCTTGCATACATTGAACACTTAATAAACGATAGGACTGATCAATTCGGTAACGTAGCTCTTGATGATAAGGTGATAACTGCATTAGTAAGTGTTATTGATGAACATTTACCTCGGGAAGGTGGTATATTATTAAATTCACTACGTTCAAACCAGCACGACACTTTACACTCGACTTCTCCAGAAATTTGCGGTGAAAACGAATTAATGAAGTACGAATGTATTTCACCGTCCAGTGTTATAGATGAGTTTTTAAATTAATTCCAAATTTAATTGATTTCTGTAATCCAGTTTTTTTTAGTTTATACAGCAGAAGAGTTAATTTTTTTTAAATAGTTTTTACGAATTATGTAAATATGTATGTAAAGAAAAAACTTTTTAACCGGATTAAAGCTATGTATTATTATAAATTTACAATTATTTAACATAATTTTAAATTTATCCGACGTTACGCGTGCTTTAATATATAACTTTAATCCGGTTAAAAAGTTTTTTCTTTAAATGTGTAAAGGTTATGTTAATCAAAGACAATACTATAAATATGTATGTATAATGTAAATATTACAATAGGTATAAGTGTAATTGTAAATACAAATTTTAACGTAATAAAAAGTAATTTAATATTTTTGTTTGAACTTAAATATCCTTTATTACGGCTTTGATAAAAAATACCTTCTACAAATCTTAATATATTTATATCGCACTCATGCGCCAATAGGTACTTAAAAATAAAACTGCAACGTGTTAAGTAGAAATAAATTTATTAAAGTAAAATACATACATATATATATATATATATATTTACAGTCAATAAAAAATTAAGTGTAACTTAAAACAATATTTTACACATATTTATTCTCATATCTTTTTGGTTTTAACATACGATACATTTCTTGCTATTCCATAAATTACAACGATATGTATGAAGACGAAAACTTTGACGCGGCAGACGTGTTTTGACTAGAAGTATCTGTTGTTGGAAGATAAGAAAAGTACGCGTCTTGGTTTAACGAAATATTTGGTCTATTTTGAAGATTTTCTTCATATGAGTGGGTAGATATTGACGGAATGCCTGAAGAGTAAGCGTAAATATCTGACGTAGACGGCATCATTGTTGCTGATAGTGAATTATAATACGATGCAGCACTTGTAGGGTAGCGGGATATCTCATCTCCCAACTTAATACTTATACCGTTAGGTACATAACTGTCCGATGGCAGCGTAGATAGCGCACTAGAATTCGGTTGCAATGATTCATCGCCATTGTACCGATAAACCTCTGATACTGGTGAGTAAGAGGCCCTGCCGCTTGAAGTACCTGCTGCGTAATACGTTGAGTAAGTAAGGTTAGGCGTATACGACGGCAAGTCCATTGCGTTTTGGGTACTTTTAATTATTGATTTTATGGAATTCATCTGGGGATATTCTGGCGGACGCATAACGGTATCATTTGCGGTGAGGTATATTTTATGGCTTGTATGACCGTCTGTTATTAATCTTCTATGTCTGTCATGCCCTCCGCAGCTTCTTCCGTGGCTTAATTTATGATCCTGATGGCTTGGTGACATTTCTTTGGAGCTTGTAGACGGACTGCTGTCATCGACTGATGATGATGGCTTGTTATGTTTGTTATCTTTTTTATACTTCATCCGTCGATTCTGAAACCATATCTTGATCTGACGTTCCGATAAATGTAAGTAATTTGCCAATTCAATGCGACGAGGGCGACACAGGTAGCGGTTTTGATGAAATTCATTTTCAAGTTCTACTAACTGTGAGCTTGTATATGCTGTTCTTGCTCTCTTCGTAAATCCTTTTTGATATGGGTCAGAAGACATATTTTCTGAAATAATGTTAGAAGTTATTTATACATACATCAAAGCTTATAACAAATAAAAAACAATAAAAAAATAAGTATTAGAATCGCTAATGTTATAAAGACTACAGACAATACTTGGTATTTACCGTTTGTTAAAGAAGAGGTCACACTAATTCCAGAGTTATTTAGTAAAGCTTTATCACACCATGTAGAGTTCTGAAATATCACAAAATAGTTAAATTCACTTAAAATTCAACGTCTTTAAATGTCTACGTTTCAATTTGGAATAAAATTTTAAAGTATATGTTCTAATTCTTAATTGACGCAATTTACGAAATATTAAATTGTCATTAGGATCCGGTTGATTTGTGGTAAATCACTCTAATAAGTGACGTTCGTTTAGATAGCGATAGATTTAGTAATAATTTATTTATAGTCTATATCTATGACGGTAAGGTTCAAATTAGTTTGTTTTATAATCACCTGATTTGGAAAACTAGACTCGTTTAGATCATTAGCTTGTTCTTCAGGATCTTTCACAATATCGCTGCTTAATTCGTTGCTTTGTTGACACCGTAGGGATTCGTTGGCATAACTTCTATAGACAACCTGTTCACCCAATTGCAAATTTGAAGTGTAAACATTTTCACCTTTATGAAATTCTTCGCCAATTCCATCTTCAGCACCGGATGCATAATTGTTATTCGAACTATTACTTATGTTATCATACTGTGGTATTTGATATTCATATCTATTTAACTCTTCTTCATGTGGATTTCCTGATGTGTACGACTGTTGTAATCCAAGTATATCTTGTATGGTAAAAGCGGATGAATCACGTGAGTTGTAGTCCAATATATGAGGCACGGAGGTGACTTCAGGCTTACATAATTGAAAAGAATTATCGTGAACATTGTAAGCGGAGTCAGCAAGAATGTCTTCGACTCCATGTGACGTGACTTTATAATAGCTGCTTTGAGCCAAATATTCAACAGGTTTCTCTTCCGTCAAGTCTTTGACGACTTCAGACGAGTATTCTGACGACATAGAATCATTGGATTCGTCAGAATTCACACTCGCAGTCGGGGAAGGTGATATTGTAGACATATTTCACTTTGACACCATTTATAAGTTACGAATGACAATTAATATGCGACCGCACAGTCAAAGATTTGTTTACTAAATGCTTTTTTCTTCACCTGAATGTCGTTAATTTGGTAATGACTTTGTTCGGTTGTGTGCCACATTTTGACATAGTTGAGTTCTTTGTGTGCTGACGATAAGACGGTATGCCCGTCTGATAGTAAAGGGGCACTAGATAATTGTTTGTAATGCATTTCGGTAGCTAAAATACTTGTCAGTGATAACTTGACCAAATACAGCGCTACTTAAAACGTTTATGTTTGTAAATAATTACTTATTATGGAAAGAGTAAAATCATAACGATGTATCTATGCTAGAATACACTTTAAAGTGGTTGCCTGGAAGAGATCGCTCGAAAGCGATAAGGCCGCCAGTTGCTCTCCTTTTTATTTAATTATGTCAATTGTACTATATTAATGTAAATGCAACGAAGTGTTAATAAATAAATAAATAAATGATTTTTATTTCCTTGCTCAGTTACTCTGCATGTGCGTTTACTAATTAATTAGTCTATGGTTTTATAGCCAGCGATATGGTTAGGTTAGGGAAGAGAATTCTTCTATGATATGGAAATATTTAAAACTAATAATATTTTAATCTTTGGTTCAAATTAGTAAAATGCGGCAAGTATTAGAGTATTGCTATTAGGTATTGCAAATCAATATAAAACAAATCTGTGGCGCTACATTCTTTTGAAGTCTAGGCGTCAGATTTCTTTGCCTGTTTCTAATAGGCAAGTAGGTGTGATCACCTAGGGCTGATGCCCTTGTGTCAGGACACGAGCCGTCGACTTTTTGAGTCTAAGGCAATCCGGTTTCCTCACGATGTTTTCCTTCACCGTTCGAGCGAATATTAAATATATATGATAATTTATTACACATTTAAATTGATTGTCTAACATATCTGGAGTAGAAAAGATTTATGAGAAAAAATATAACATTTAGTTTATGTACTGCTCATACCTACATCAGGAAGTGATACTAATGTCATTAAGATAAACAACAGATTATAACGACAACTAGACCAAGTATGATAAAGCACGGATTACAAGTCTTAAAGAATCCTTAAAAATATATGTAATATAATAATAACATTAACGCTAGGAGGTACTCAGAATAGTTCTTGTAGAGTTAACGGTAACATAAGATTTAATTAAAAGCCAAAGAATGAACGAATTATAAATAAGAATGGACGACAGTAAGTAAAAAACTATAAAACTCCTTAAAATTACATGCAATTTGCTGTTTGGGGTATACCTACCCCGGAATTGATTCATTAATAAATATATTAGTACGGGTACTCTGTAACTTCCAATAGCGAAATAAATGCGATGCTGACTTAGACATTGAGTTTTTGTACCACACTATCCCAAGGTTACAACATCGGTCCTATGGATATTGGATATTGAGTGAACCATATTGATGTTAGGATCGGTATTATTATTGCTATTGGAAGTTGCAGAGTACCTACTGATGCATGGAAGGTACATTCGATAACCTATTCTAAAAAAAATAGTCGTGCAAAATTGTCTGCGTCATAGTTTAGGCGTTATGGGCCTTCACACATGCGTATAATATAAATGAGTCAGTGTTCTGAAAGTTAGGAAAGATAAAGTATCTAGGTATGCCTACTCCAAAACTTCAATATTTTATTTTCTTAACCGTGACATTCTAAGACATACATCGATTGGATAATAAATAATTTTAATGATGTCATAACTATTATAATAAATACTGAGAGTAGGAAGAACACCCAATAGATTTTTCACAGTAGCTCTGCACCTATTATAAATGAAGCTAGATGTTAAAGCTATTGTAGAGTTCAAAAATATACAGTTGATCCACAAGTCAGGTAATAATTATAACTTAAAAAATCAACTTTGTTTTTGTTTGTAAAAACTAACAATGCATCGCAACATCCCTCTGTTTTCAATACGTAATCTATTTTGAATAACTCAAAATAGGCTTAAGTTAACACTTAAAACTCTTTGCGTCACGCTAAGCTTTTTTTACTTGAAATTCACTGTCAATCCGATTTGGGGTAATAAGGATTGGCTTAGGTAAAGGCAGTAATACTTCTGAAAAAATATGTTTATAACGCAGTAATACGACTTTAAACGTAAAATGTGTTTCACCATAGCTTAGAGTCTGTGGGCAATTTAAAAATCGAATCTGTTTATGTTAATTTAAATATTGGGCGGTGGCTACGTAAACTTTGTTTTCAAAAAAAGAATATGCTTTTAGCATCTGGTTTAATAGCATGTATTTACTAAGTTTATTAATAAAACATGAAACTTTAG